CCCCCCCACACTTCTGTGGGCCGGGCTACTCACCTCGGCAGGTGTAGCAGAAACACTCAGACTTTGAATCTCTCCCCGGGACTGGCTGCTCCTTTGAGCCAGAGAGTCACATTTTTTAAGTAAGAAGGGGGGGAGAGGGTGGACGCAAATATGATGGCGACTTTGTCCCTGACGGGCACCGTCACGCCCTGGCAACTAACGGTAGGAAGGAGGAAGATTTTAGAATACCTCATTCTGATATTTATTTATGCTCTGTTGGAGTAAGAAACGGCTGTAGTGAAAATATTACATGGAAGATATAATCCCATGTTTCTGTTTCTTTATCCATAAACTAAGGTAAAAGGTGTGACTGAGGCTGTTGATTAATGTGCTTTAAAAACCCTTATATCTTAAAAGCCGATCTAATTATTTAATTTGTTTTGATTTTTTTACTTTAACTCCAATTCCTGTAGTTTGTTTTCTTTGTAAATCCCATGTGTGCTTCATGTTGATAACTCACGGGATTGTTTTGTATTTGTAAAGTCCGGGTCCAGGCTTTTGCATCAGAGTGAGATCTCTGTGTTATGTCTGCGTTTCCAAGACAGACAGGCTGCTCTGTTTGTGTATCTAGGATCAACTTGTCCTGTGTGTGGGATTGACAGCTCTGTTTGGGTGTGCAGTACTACGCCATGTGGGCAGAACACATGTATTTTACACACAGCAATACATGCACAGACACATCAGGCTGATGAAACCTGTTTACGTGGTTGGTGGAACCACAGGTAAAATAATGTATCATCAGATGAGCTGCTTCATTGCATCTTTCACAATCGCTCCATTCAGCGCTTCCACAAGCCTTCAAATGGTGATTATGGATTCAGCTAAAACCTTTTTATTAACTGGTTATTTTATTGTGACACAAATGTCAAGGGACCTTTCTACAGAATGCATTAAGTGGACAAATATAGTGGGATCAATGTGCCCCATATGTTGTGATGTAAATGCAGAATTTTGAAAATCCTTAAGAAAACTTTATATTCAGCAAAATCTTAACACTTTACACATTTCTCCAAGTTTGGTTGAAATCATTTACACAACTTTAAGAATATTTTTATATATCCTGCTAATTAACAAACAAACAGTACCAACGTCTTTGGTGTTATGCAGACAATCATTGACACCAACACTGGATGGCACCAAAGTAAGACATTTTAGCAACATTAAAAGCGTTAAACTGACATCTAACGTGAGCTCAAAATAAACTGATGTGTGTGTTTAAATGTAACCAACAAACTGACCACACACTATAAAAGCTGTAAAAACACCTCCAGTTAGGTCACGAGAAACACTTCCAGATGGCGTTTTAGCGCCCGTTGCAGCTTGTTTATATGTAAATGCAGGTGTTGTATGTTTCTCTGTTTTCAGCAGCAGGGTGTGTTGTGTTCGTGTGAGCGTTTGTTTTGCCTGCTCTCAATCCGTATGCGTTTGGTTACCTGTTTTTCTTTCTATTGTTCTGCGTGCAGCGTATGCAGACAATGGGATTCTCTCTCCCAAACTCACACACACACACACGAGTGAAATGCCTTGAGGAGGATATCTCTGCTTTCCAGACACATTGCACCAGACAATCTCCTCCACGGTTTATACAGCTGGTCTCCATGTAGCTAATAAATCACAGAGGAGTCAGGACATGTGCGCGGTGCGGTCTGACCTGCGGCAGCTTCAACTGCTCTTCCTTTTCATTAAAGAATGTCACAATTCCATCAGTGCCTCCTCTAATGATTTTCTTTCTTCTGATGTTTGTTATTACAGAATGAGGAGAAGTCTCAGTCGGAGGTAAGCTTCAGCCCGCCCCCCTAACTTCTATCGGATGTTTCTTTAATTTTCTATGTGCAGTGGCGGGACTTGTTGGAACATGGGGGCACCTTCACATGTGTATCTAGTTACACGTGTAACTGTATTGTGACTGACCCTGGAACAGGCTCTTGTTCCTACACCTGTATGTGCTCCTGCATTCATCTACGATCCTTTATGTTTCATCTCTTAACCTGAACATAATCAGAGATTCAATCTTGGAGCCTCCCTCATTTGTTGCCACCGTTTTTTCTTTCATCGTGTGTCTAGATGCATGTGTATGTGTGCATTTGGCGTTGCATGTTTTTATGGAACAGGTATGGATGCTTTTGTCTCTGTGTTTTTTGAAGTCGTGCCTGTTTTGTGTCCTCAGATCCGCAAATTGCGTCGGGAGCTGGACGCCTCCCAGGATAAGGTTTCCGCCCTGACGACGCAGCTCAGCGCCAACGTGAGTGAGCAGGCACAAACACGCACGCACGCACGCACACACAGACACTCCTCAAAAAGTTAAATGGACATTGGTTCCTTCTAGTGTTTACCGTGCAATTAATTTAATCAACCAAATATACAAAAGCTGTGAAATTTGCCCAAAATATGTGGTTTTATATTATTTGATATCACATTATCGTTGAGGTTTATATTACATTTTAAATAATTGTGTGGATCAAAATTGTCATAAAAGTTGTCATACAAGGTTGCCTTTTTATGAAGCTATGAAATACAAAATGAAAAAAAATGATCATTAAAATAATGCTCTGCTTTTATCTATGAAAAGGAATCTGTTACACATTTCAACTTTATGTCGCAAATGGAAATGATATTATTTATTTATTTTAATAATTTCAGAAAATATGCCTTGAAGCAGGCTGAAAAAACAACCTGTGAATGGTGACACTCTATCGCTCTCCAGCAACCAAACAATTCCCAAACACACGCGAGTACATTTAGAGATCCTCATCAAACACTCAGCAGATAGCTCCAGTCGAGCACTTTACTCCCAGAAGCTGTACTTTCACATCTGGCAGAACCATCAGAACATCTCTTAAAGCGTCTCCAGACACGATCCCTCCTGCCACCCTACCTTCTGTATTGCACAAGTCTCACCACGCTCTGCTTGTAATCTCCACCTGAGCACACTGGTGGTTAAACCGTGGATTAGAGATATGGAGGGAAGGTGTTAGATTACAGTCGAGTCAAGTCTCAGCACACTGCGGAGGGACAGTGGCAGATGCGGACAGAAGATTTACAGCTAACGACGCCTGGATACATGAAGGCGTGGTGTTGAAAGAAAAACACAGAGAGAAGAGTTAGTAGTGGGGGGGTCATGAGATGCGAGGGTGGGGCTTTATCTGTTCAAATATTTGATTATCCGCGGGCCTCAGACGGATGATGAATGATCTGAACACGCCTCAAAGGCCCGAGGCCCTGAATCTAAGAGCATCCTCTGCAGCAAGAAGTCTGGTCTTTAAACACACATCAGTCAACACTCTACTCACACACACTCTCTGCAGGCAGCAGCTCATCGTTCATATTCCTCTAAAGCCTATTACAATATACTAATGGATGAACTCATTCACCCCTATGTTCCGTGTTTGTTTTTAACAACCAAAGCAATGTTGCACGCAAAATAATGCATTATTAGTGTGAGAGTAATTATTTGTCATGTACATTCAATTTGAATCTGCTTGTTTGTACTCACCACAAAGTCTTTCTGTTATTTTTGTATAACTTTGTCACGAAGGCAATTCATTCTAACACTACCTGCACACTATGTGAGCCAGAAATATGTCAAATCAAGTTAGGGCAGATAGTGAAACTGTAGTGAATAGTGGTTTACCAAAAGATGACTTCATGTCATCATGAGCATGAATGAATAGGTCTCTCTCCAATGACTGATTATGGGTAAGATGATGTCAGGGTTGGTAGTGTGGGAAACTGTCCAAAGCTGCCCCACAGGGGGATAATCATTTATCATAGGGGGCAATTATTTTTGCACAATTATTTGTAAATGGTTATGTTTTCATTTAGTTTAAACTGACGTCATATTTGGGTTTAGAGCTTTAAAACATGGTTTTAGCCCCAAGGTTGTAGCTTTTATGTTGACAGCTCTCACTTTTTCATCTGATGCTATATGTAGACTGTTGAGTTTGATTTTCTGAACTCAAAGTCGTAAATTGTAATGTTATATTTGGCTGAAGTGTGCCTGACGGATTCTTTTTTGGACAGCTGATTAGGTTCTGGGATTAGAGGAATTGTGTTTTTGAATAAACCGTATGCTGTTGTATATCTTCGAGTTGGGAATTCTATATTATTGAACATTAAGTGTTGGGTACATGTGAGCTTTTCACGAATGTCAAACATTAACCTGGTTTATATTTTGTTTTGTTCCTCCTGCAGGCTCACCTGGTGGCAGCGTTTGAACAGAGTCTTGGGAACATGACCATCAGACTGAAGAGTCTCACCTTAACAGCAGAGCAGAAGGTAAACACAGCTCCTCTTCTTTCATAACAGACTGGGCTTTACACTTATCATGGTGCACATTTAAAGTCACGGAGATGTTGCTTTCATCCTCTTGTTATCTCCTCTGTGTAGGACTCTGAGCTGAACGAGTTGAAGAAGACCATCGAGCTGCTGAAGAAACAGAATGCTGTGGCTCAGGCCGCCATCAACGGAGTCATCAATACACCTGAACTCACACACAGAGGGGACAGGACAGGTACGGAGACACTGCGCCAAAAAGGGATCTTATTTTAGACATTGTTTATGGAAATACGAAGACATTTATATTTTGTGTTTTCTTTATTATATTACTGTTCAGAATGTGCTCAAAATATCCTTGTGCACTTTTTTGACAGGTCTATGAGAAAGGCCATTATAGGGAACATTTTACAAAGAATATGCCACATTCTCTCAGCAGCAGCAGCAACAATATTTTATTGCTAAACAGACTTTTTAATAAGATAAGATAAGACTTTATTTATCCCGAAGGAAATTGTTGTGCCAGAGTTACACAAATTCAATCAACACAGCAGCATAATAGTAAAACTGTACACTAAAATTGCAGTAAAAAGAGCAATTCAGTATCTACAGGAAACATGAAACATAGATGGTCACATACTTAATGTAAATGTGTCAAGGTTCCCAATTCATCAATAAGTTGCTGTAGTTTTGAGCTTAAGACAGTGTTTATATGTTCCCCTGTCAGGAGGGAAAACATTTGAAACTCTTGGGATTATTGTAGCAGGAGAAAGGCACTCTCATTATCTAATAACTATGAACAAGCCTGTTTTCTGTAGTCCAAGAAAACCTCTATGATATCAGAAGAGGACAACTCTGACTAGTTGATATCTGAAAGTTAATCAAATTCATTTTTTACATTTCCTAATATTTGACAAACACCCCTCCC